AACAGTGAAACAACTAGAGAGGATGTGAAAACACGTATTAACCCATCTAAACTTCACATTAGTGTTAAAAAAATGCAAACAAGCAGAAATGGAAGCATACTGATAAAATGTAATGATGTTACTGATACACAAAAGTTTAAAAAATATGCAGAGGAAACACTTAAAGACAACTATGAAATAGAAGAAACCAAATTGAAAAATCCGCAAGTGAAAATTGTAGGGTTTAAGGAAGACATGGCCATGGATGAAATTGAACAATCAATTAAAAATCAAAACAGTTTTTATTGTAATGAACTACTTAAAATAACATACATAAGGAAAAACAAAAATAATACAAAAACAGTATATGCTGAATGTGATGCAGTTATGTTCGCCAAACTCATGTCACTAGGAAAAGTTAACATTGGATGGGAGCGTTATCAAGTTTATGAAAACATAAATCCTCCTCAGTGTTATAATTGTTGGGGATTTTATCATAAAAATACCAACTGTGAGAACAAATCAATTTGTTCTTACTGTGGAATGGAGCACCCACGTCGAGAGTGTCAACTAGTCCAAACTCAGCAAGGAAAGAAATGCAAAAACTGCGAAGTGGCAAATTTGAGATACAAAACTGAATATGACTTGAGTCATGAGGCTAGCGACACTGATTGCCCCACCTATAAATATCACATTCAAGTTATGCGAAACAAAATAAACTATGGACAACCTTTACAATGCCATGTCTAGTCAAATGGAACTTTTGAACGAGATAATTCCTGATATTTCTGGTGAGACTGTCAGTGCTGTGGGCCTATGTGACAAAATTGAAATTAATAAAAAAATTCTCAACATTTTCCATATTAACATACGTAGTGTAAGAGAAAACTTTAACAGTTTGGTATCTTTTCTAGAATCCTTTAAATTTTATTTTTGTGATGTAATAGTCCTAAGTGAATGCTTTCGACTTGATTCATTTTCAGAATTTTCGCTGCAAGGTTTTACAACATACTATAACCAGGGTTCAATTAATAAAAATGACGGTGTGTTAACTATGGTAAGAACTAGCTTGAACAGCGTTGTAACAACACACACATTAAAATCTACAAAAATTAATGTAAGTAAAATTAGTTTAGATATTGGCAATATTAGCTACGGAATATCAGCTGTTTATAGATCGCCAGAAACCTCAAAAAACGACTTCATTGCTGACCTTGATTTATATCTTGAAAGCAATTTAACAAAAAATATTGAAATTGTGGTGGGAAATCTTAACTTTGATTTGTTGAACGGTTCCGATCGTGATGTAGCGACTTACTACACCACTCTAGTTTCCTATGGACTACAGCCATATATCAATAGTGTCACAAGAGAACAATCAAAAACTTGCCTAGATCATATTTTCGTCAAAACTAACCTTAATATAGAAAGTATGTCTTTTTCTTCATATGTGGTATCTCATGATATTACGGATCACTATCCAACAGTATTAAATATATCAAATCATAACAATAATAACCTGCCTTCAAGAGCTACTAAAAAAATCACTGCAGTCAACAAAAATAAGCTTCATGATCTTTTGAAGAGTGAATGTTGGAATGAAATTTTAAACACAAATGAACCCGAATTAGCTTATCAAAAATTTTTGAATAAATTTCAAAATTACTATTCTCTCTGCAAAACAGTCAAAATTCAAAAAATGTTTAGAAAAATAAAGCCATGGATAACTCAAGGTTTAATTGTATCAATTAGAAAGAGGGATAGGTTGAAAAAACAATTGCAAAGACATTCCACTGAAGAAAAGGCCATTGAGTATAAAACCTATCGCAATGCATTAAAAAAACTGATAGATAATACAAAAAATCAATACTATAAAACAAAAATTGAACAAAACAAGCATGACACAAAAAAAATCTATAAATTGATAGCCGAGGCAACGAATCAGGGGAAAAAATGCAGCGAAGCCTTAAATATAGTTGACAATGATAACAAAACTTTTGAAAATGATCTAGATATGTCCAATTTCTGTAACAGATATTTTTCTAGGATAGCAATTGAAATGAGCGACCAAATTCCTCACATTGTAGAACAGTCTAGGCTGGCCTCAACAAGCAAATCAATGTTTTCTCACCAGTGTCTAAAAATGAACTCATCCAACATATCAATAGTCTAAAGTCAAACAGTGCTCCAGGTTGTGACGCAATAACTGTAGAAACTATAAAAGAATTTCATAACTATTTACTGAAACCCCTTATGCATATATTCAATTTAATATACGAGACGGGTGTTGTGCCCTCACCACTTAAAAAATCAATTATTACCCCTATATACAAATCTGGAAAACACAATATCATAAGTAATTATAGACCAATAAGTTTAATTAATAATTTTGTGAAACTCTTTGAAAAGACTTTAAAACTCAGACTAGTTAGCTTCATCAAACTAAATAATCTAATGTCAAAAAATCAATTTGGGTTTACAGAGGGTCTTAGCACCAATGATGCAATGTGTTGTCTGATAAGAGAAGCCACAAATATAATTAATGAGAACAAAAAATGCCTGGTGGTGTTCCTGGACCTCGCGAAGGCTTTCGACACAGTTTCCCATAAAATACTTCTTGATGTTCTTGAACATAGTGGTGTTAGGGGAACTGTGTGGAGGGTTTTTGAGAGCTACTTGACTGGACGGCAGCAGCGGGTTAGAATACGCGACACAATCAGTGATCCACGAACATTAAATATGGGTGTTCCGCAAGGCACAGTTCTCGGGCCTATTTTGTTTAATCTTTACATTAACTCAATTAGGGACATTGGGATTGAGGGTGAGATTGTGTCATATGCGGATGACACGGCCATAATTTTCAATGGATCCTCTTGGGAAGAAGCTAGAATAAATGCAACAAATGGCCTTATAAAAATTAAAAGATGGCTTAATATACACAAATTATCCCTTAATGTTAAAAAAACAAATTATTTGGCTCTTACTAAAGTTGATTTGAATCGCCCTCTTTTTAACCAAATAGAAATAGACGTAAACGAGAAAATTGAAGAGGTCACTCACGTTAAATACCTTGGGGTTATGATTGACTGTTACTTGAAGTGGAATGCTCATGCTGAATATCTGACTAAAAAAATTAGATCTCTGACTTATAGGTTCTATATTCTTAGAAATATTTTGTCATCAAACATGTTGGTCACACTGTATCGGAGTCTGGTGGAATCTCTGTTAGCATATGGTATCACGATCTGGGGTTCGATGTATGGAAATGCGCTGAGGCCGCTACAAATTGTTCAAAATAAAATTTTAAAAATAATTTATAAAAAAGATCATCTGTATCCCACAAATATGCTATATACTGAGGAAATAGTAAATTTGAGAATTCTATTCTTCCACTCAGTTAGTTCTTACATTCATAAACACCGCAAGATGCAGCCTATTGTGTTACATAATCAAAACACCCGCTTTCGCATAAATCAGCTTTTGAGGATTCCGGAATGTAAAAGCGAATTTTATAGACGCTCAATTGGTTTCATGGGTCCAAAGGTTTACAACCTATTACCCAATGAGGTGAAGAATGTTGTAAAACCAAAACTGTTTTCAAAAAGATCGAAGGCATTCGTTTGGACAAATCGGATTTTGTTTGAAAAACTGCTTTGATTTGATGACAATAACGTACATACTTAAATTCTCAGCATTCGAAAAATTTGTATTCCTATGGAAATAACATATATATATGAAGTAAGTTAGAAGCACATACAGATGCTCTGCATCTAGGTGCTGTTGTATATAAAACCATTTACCATTTAGATACCTAATATAATAATTAGTATATTTGTAATAAAATAAATTTATACCTTAATAAAATGTTAAGTTACTTTGTTCAATTACCTTTGAGAGTTGCGTTATAATGGTGTCACCAGCAAATTCCATAAGAATACACTCGGTGTCATTATTGACGAGAGTCTCAAGGCTAATTGAACAAGATATACTAACTAAACTCAGTAATATTTGCTGTTGCTACAGTACTACAATATTTAAACAAGCATTTTTCGTTTTTAGAATTGCATATGTTACCCTTAAGACTGTAAGTGATAGGCTGAAAGAAAGTGAAATTTATTTGAAATTTATTAAATTGCCTGATTCAATAAAAAGATGCGGTACTGTAATTGCCTTTAAAAATAACCTTAGGAAAAGACTATTTGACAAGTCTCACTAGGTAGACAATAATTATCATGTAATGATCGAATTTATGTATGTGAGTTGTTTTTTTTTATATTTATTTTTGTTTGTTTTTTATACAAGATGTGTTAATTTTAATTTTACAATTTACAATTATTGCGTAGTACCTAAGTAATAAGAATTGCAATTTTTATAGTGTATGTATATTTTGCATGTCTGTAAATTTTGTGAATTAGCCGTTTTTTGCTAAATAAAGATCTATTATTATTATTATTATCTGAAATAAAAGCGATACATTCTGAAATACTTATGGAAAAGGTGTAGAAAAACCGAGAGAAAAACGTTAGGGGTTGGTTGAGTTAATAAATATCAATAATCAATAACCAGTTGAGTATCTTTGAACAATGTTGCACAATGTTCTACCAAAGTTTGCGTTCTACCCAGTAAACTTACAAGTTGTTGTGCAAAATAAGTAGACTGATCGAGAGAGTGATAAAACATAGGCAATTCGGCATAGTGCTTGGACAAATCTGTTAACAATTATTGTATCTAAAATATGTACCTTCTTAAATTAAAAGAGCGAGAATTAAAAATAAGTACCTACGCGTACACACCCTATAAACCTATAAATACAGGTTCACAAAAATTAGAAAAAAAGTTAAAAAAGGTAACCTCAAATTTTAGCAAATTCCTGCTAGCAAATTCTTACACCACAAACGTTTCTAATTATCTGATAAGCGTATTAACCAATTCAATAAAAAGCAAATAAACTTTAATGCAAACAGGAAAAATGTTAAATTGTTCCAAAAAAATAGATTACATAAAAAGTAACTACCCGGTACCTTGTATCCAACGAGAAACTCGATTCCGCAGCTGCCACGGCAGTCTTCTCTTCTCGACCAAGACTGACACTTTATCTAGTTACTATTTATTTATTTTTTGCTAATGAAATTTTCGCACAAAATTTAAATATTCTGGAGTTGAGATTATCTGTTTTGAAATTTGTTCAATGACGATTTGAGGTCATCGACCACGCAACTTTATTCGCGCAGTGCGTCACATAGGCGATTTCAGATTTGGTGGTTCTTATTTGTGACTGCCTGGATCGCTGGATCTGCTCCAAGCAGATTTACACGGGGCTGCGTTCACATTGAAAAGTCCTACAAAACGACAAAGCAGGGTAACGATAAAAATGAGGTCTGGCGATCATTAAACTGAACGTACGGAAGCCGCTTTCCAGCTGTGTGCTTCAAGCACGGTGCAGCACAGTGTTCTGTTCCAGCCGTCCTGCGCTCCGAGAGCTGCTAACTTTTGCGTTTCAAACACAGAACACTATAGCCGCTTTCCCAGTATGCACATTGGCGCGCTCCAGAGCACCTCGGGGGCGCCACGCACTAGATTTGTACCGTTCCAGTATCATGGCGTGAGACGCCTGTCTTAGTGTCAAATATGTCAAATTTTAAAAATAATTATTTGTTTGTGCCTTGTTTGTGCAGTTTGTTTTTTTATTTATCAAAAATTAAAGAGAATCAAAACTATATATTTTAAAATGTTCAATCTTGAGATATAACAAAAAATAAATAGATAAATAGCCACCCACAGATGTGACAGCTGATAAGTTGACGCATACGTACAGCTCGGGGGCTCAACGCCCCGAGTGGCTCCGGGCGTCACACTCCCATACTGCACCGTGCTTGAAGCACAAACACACGTCAGCTAGAAAGCGGCTCAAACCAATGAACTATAGCTAAAAACTGGAATGTGCACACATTGCCATATCTGCCACAAAAATGAAGCCATGAAAGACAGATGCCACAAAGGGGAATGTTGTTTTTTTCTGTTGCTCGCTGACATATGACGTTTTCGAAAGTTTTGTCATATTTCCCTTCACAGGTTTTATCAATTGGAATACGTGTTGGAAGCAATTTTCGTCATTTAACATAATGAGTGCGACAAAAACAGGTATCCCCTCCGCAGCAGCCGCACTAGGCTTCACGTTCGTCCTTATGTGTTAGCATTCCAGTTTTTGGTTATAGTTCATTGGCTCAAACTGACCTTGAAAAGTGAAAAGTGCAAAAATGTCCAATTAGGCAATCCAACGACCTGTCCAAATGGCTTCTGGTTCGCAAACAATAAACAAAAAAACATATGTTTTTTTTTATCTGAAGTCCCCCACCACCCAAATCACCAGTTGTGACGTAACAGCATGTCGTTTCTCGTTCTTTTTTATAAAAAAATTAACTACGACCGCTAGTGCATACAGCTGAAAACTTAGTTATGACGTCGGAAATGGTGATACACCAATATGGCAGCAATAGGGCATGTCCATGTGACGTCACAAATGAGTTTGACAGTCGCTCTGAGGTAAAACAAATCATTTATTTACATTGGTGTAGATTAGGCCAGTTATGTTTTATGCGGTTTCCACAGCTATTTTATAAGTTTTTGTGTTATTTTGTATAAAAAAAGTTAGAGCGGAGTGTTTGTGTTCCAGTCTATGTAGGCTTTCATCTAAAAGTTTGCTAGGTTTTTCTATAATGGATTAAATTCAGGTTTTTTCCAACAAATATCAAAACCAAGGGCACAAGAACAAATATATAAGTATAGTTACTCTATATTCAATCTATTTTTCTATCAGATCTCTTTTTCTCTTCTTTCTTGAGCTAACAAATCAAAGTCCCCATTGTTATTTAAAATTGAAGAAGGATATTGTATCCCTTGCGCTATACTGCCACAATTAACAACTAAACAAACTCTAAGCATGTCCAAGAAACTTCTGGATCACACAAAAGGTATTTATTTTAAAAAATCTAACTAAAAACTTAAAAAAACACTGTACATTTATCTTTGTTTTACCTCAAGGCGACTGTCAATAGTGTCAAACTGTCAAATCGTGTACTTGCCCTATTACCAAAAACTAGGCCGATAAGCAGTCCTTAATAGCGTGTATTAGGCGCGTTTGTTTAGGCAACATGTATTTGGCCGACCAAATGTTAATTTTTCAATATTCGCCATACTCAATCGTTTGGTGGTCGTTTGGTGGTCTTTGGTATCCCACTTTTAATATTCGGTGGTAATTACTTAGGCAGTAATTAACAATTAAAAATTTCATATGACGTTGGCCGACATAACCTGATTCTAATTTATTTTTTGGCCCATTTATAGTCAAATCGAACGGAAATCGTTTGGTGGTCACGAATTTACCGAATTTAGCGTTTGTTAGTCAATAATACCGGAGTAATTAATTAATCAATTAAGATTGTTTTCTGATATATTTTAATTAATCGTCGCGCATGCGCATTTTGTTCCTATACAGGAGAATGCCTCACGTAGCCCGTGAATAAGATTGCAGTTGGATCAAATGCTATCTCTAGTAATCCACTTGCAACCTAAAAAACTTCTTATTAATGCACGGGCTAAGTAAATCACGATGTATACCTATTTTCAGTATTCGAGTAAGTATAGATACCTACCTAATTATTCGTTGATTGTAATGAAATAATTGATTTGATTGAAAATTATAGAATAGGTAGGCAACGCCGCGATCGAGGCGGCTCAATTGAAAAACAGATAATCAGGCCTATGATGTATCATTTTCTGTTATTTTAACGGCAGCGTTAAGTTATCTGTCACTGTTTATTCTATACTTCAAAATAGAGACGGAAATAGATGTTGAGCCTTAACACAGCCGTTAAAATAACAGGACAGGATACATCATAGGCCTGAATATATGCGCATGCGCAACGAATAATTAGAATATATCAGAAAACAATCTTAATTGATCAATACCTCCGGTATTATTGACTACCAAACGCTAAATTCGGTAAATTCGTGACCACCAAACGATTTCCGTTCGATTTGACTATAAATGGGCCAAAAAATAAATTAGAATCAGGTTATGTCGGCCAACGTCATATGAAATTTTTAATTGTTAATTACTGCCTAAGTAATTACCACCAAATATTAAAAGTGGGATACCAAAGACCACCAAACGACCACCAAACGATTGAGTATGGCGAATATTGAAAAATTAACATTTGGTCGGCCAAATACATGTTGCCGTTTGTTTATTCCCTCGAAGTGCGGAGCGTGTGGAGCTTGAGCTACCTTGGACAGAGGTCAGCTGATCATCGAGCAAACCGAGCTTGAAAATCTTGGAATCAAAAACGAACGGGTTTGTGTATCTCGAACCATACAACAGCTGCGCTCTGTGCGCACCGTACGCTCGAAATTTTGAATGACGTTCGTTTATTTTCTTTCGAGCGTGTCGAGAAAAACTTTTCGCGTTCGTAAATACGTCGAGAGAGTGTATCGAGCTCGCTCGATTCGCTCGGAATTTTTTGATGGTGTGGAGTTGTGTGGAGTGTGCAGCGAGCGCCAATTTAAAAAAATTCTAAACCTACTAAGCTAGTAAAAGTAAAATTGATTTCCTTCGTGCGTGCAGAAAACGCGTTTTCACGCACCGATTTGCGTGGAAGTACCACTTTTCCGCACAGCGTGCATGAGAATAAATTTACCGCACGAAAAGTTTTTCACGCACTGTTTTTTTTTTCAATTTTTCTCTCACCATAAATAATTAATCCTACTCATAGGTAAGCGCTGCCGGAGTCAAGAAAAATGTTGGGGTGCCACGCCCAAAAACGTTCATTTCGACCCACAAAATGAACGATTATGGGCGTTCTGAGCCTTCAAAAAATAAACAAATTATTGTTTATTTCTGAAAGTACAGGGTGTCCGAATTTGGATGGTTTTAATAGGAAACATCAATTTCTGAGCAAGATACAAAAAAAAGAACCCCCCACTCCGAGGCTCAAATTTCTTGAAATTTTGATTGGTGCAAACCGCATTTTGAAATCTTCAACCGTTTAGCCGCTAGAGGGCGATTCTCGATTTTAAGCAATAATGTGAAACCATCATAACTTTTCTGTTTATGAAAATTATTGATTTCCGTAAAAACTTTCTAGAAGCACTTTTTAAAGCAGAATTCAGTGACGTTCTCAGTTTTTTTCTAGTTGGTCCCAACTCCGAGATATTGACCGAAGTCTGGTTTTTTTCAATAGGACACTCTATATATTAATAGCTCATTAGAAAGCTCGGCTTTTTCTGATTTCAATGATAAAAGTTCGATAGGTTTATCTCTAATAGTTTTCGAGAAAAAAAATTATTTCGGTTTTTGTCATAAGAAGCAATGTGTAAGAAAAGGACTTTATATCTGTAAGGAAACTGAGAAAGGTCTCTTTTTAACTCATTGTTTCTTATGACAAAAGCCGAAATATTTTTTTTCTCGAAAACTGTTAGATATAAACCTATCGAAATGTGTATCATTGAAATCAGCAAAAGCAGAGCTTTCTAATGAACTATTAATATATAGAGTGTCCCATTGAAAAAAATCGTATTTTGGTCAATATCTTGAAATCGAGGCCGATTAGAAAAAAACTAAAAACGTCACTGAATTCTGCATGAAAAGTGCTTCTAGGAAGTTTTTACGGAAATCAATAATTTTCATAAACAGAAAAGTTATGATGGTTTCACATTATTGCTTAAAATCGATAATCGCCCTCTAGCGGCTAAACGGTTGAAGATTTCAAAATGCGGTTTGCACCAATCAAAATTTCAAGAAACATGAGCCTCGGAGTGGGGGGTTCATTTTTTTGTATCTCGCTCAGAAATTGACGTTTCCTATTAAAACCATCCAAATTCGGACACCATAGGCGCCGGAATTTCAAAATACCTATGGGGGCTCGGGCTCCAAAAATTAAAATAAGTAGAATCAATTAGATAGACAGGACTAAGATACTAGATACATAGACCTAAACTAAATGGGACCAGTTGGCAGATACCAATTTCACTGCAGGATCAATACGCTAGATCATTGATTGTCCCTGCAGGTCCCTGTATATGATTAAAATTCGTGCATCTTCGACAGCTCGGCTATATTCGGTTTTAGCAGCACCATTGGCGTAGCCAGGATTTTGCCTTGGGGCGAGGCGAAATTTACAGGAAGTGATCCTTGCTTGCAGCACCGCCGTATGCG